GGGATACCCATGGCAAACCCGTCCTCCGTGATGGAGATCTGCTACCACTGCGAGAGGAGTTCCTTCCCCTGCGGATTCCCTCTAATTCACTCAAACAGCCATTAATTGCTGATATTGTCAATATAATAATTATTATTGGAAATGTTTTTTACTGTCGTGGCGTGGAATTAACCCCTGGTTGTTCGCAAAAGACGAAAGCTTTCACAGACTCCACAAAGTGGGAGAGGAAAGGAAGTTTTTATTAAAGGTAGGGCAGAGAGAAATACTGGCAGACTCCTTCGCCAGGGCAGCCTGATAGACAGCTGCCCCTATTAGCTTTTTCTTATGTAGGAAAGGGGGCGTCAGTCAGGTAGGTTTGAGGGCTGACATCCTTCCTGGGGTCTGGTCCGTTTGGAGATGATATTATCTCCAGACTCTGGACTCGGACTCGGCCATAGCAGCCTGGGACTTGAATGCGGCACCACTAAAATACTGCAAGGGAGTTGTAAATTGGATTCCAGTGTCCGGGTGCCTGAGGATTAAGAAATTGCTCTTTCCCAGGTTAGGATGTTGTTAATTAACGAGGTATGGGTTTACTTGAGAAAGAGAACAAACAGAGTTCTTCAGTTAATCAGTGAAGGGAGAAACAAGAAGAAAACAGATGAATATCAGGATGGATCAAACTGCAAACAAAGTCTAATTACAGGTGGCTAGATAGCGAGCTATGCGGTGAGTCAAACTGCAAACTTGCTCAGTCTAACTGCAGTATTGAGTCCCCGAATTTCACCCTTACATTTATTAACAAATATTACTTATTATACCATTATAATATACTTGATACATGTTAAATATTATATTAATTATTATGGTTACATTATCAATTATTATAACAAATATTATTAATAAAATTATTAATATAAAAAAACCATAGACTTTGAGGTCAAAGCCAAGTTAGAATCCCAGGCCAAGGATTTATCAGCTGGAGATTTTGAGTTAGTGACTTAACCTCTCTGAGTCTCAGTTTTTCTCTTCTGTAAATGGGGATGATGTTCCCTGCCCTGCCTCCCTTTTGGGACTGCCATAAAGAGAGAATGAAATGTAAGCCCTTAGCTCAGTGTTTGGTCCCCACCCAAGGGCTTCACGAAAAGGTAGCATTTATTATTACAGGCATGTTTGTTGAGCGCCTGAATGGTGGTGTGAATGAAGCCTTTGGAGTGGGTTTGCCCCACCCCTGACTTGGCTCCATCCCTGCCTCTCTCCCTGACAGGTGAACCTGTACTCCGACCCGCCCCAGCCCAGCCACAGCATCTACACAGGGACAGTGCCCCAGGGGACCAAGGTCTTGTCCTTCACCATCCCACAGCCCCATTCTGTGGAGCGGTGGCCAGGCTCTGCTGAGGCCCCACAGGCCTCCGAGGCCTCAGGTGAGGCTGGGAGAGGACATGGCTGGAGGGCTTGTTCTGCCCGTGCTTCTGCGCTGGGGGCGCTTGATTCCCCCTGGGGTGGCACCGGCTTCTGGCTGGAGGAAGGAGGGAGGTCTGTGAGGCCCCTCTCTGGGCCCGTGGACTTGAAGAGGTCAAATGGAGATGTAAGAAGTGTCCCGCTTTAAGCCAGAGCGTCCTGGGGAAAGTCCTCATTCTGCCGCTTAGCAGCTGGGTGATCCTGGCTGAGTTGTGTGACAAAGGGCGTTGTCACTGTGGAGCACATATGGGAGCAGGCCCTGTGCCCACCAGCCTTGCCACACATGATCCCAGTTAATCCCCTCGTCAGCCTGGAGAGGTATGTGCTGCTATTACCTCATTGACAGTTAAAGGGACCAAGGCTCAGAGACCAGCACATGCTGACGGTCACGCAGCTACAAGGGAGAGGGTGGGATTTGAACCTGCGCCTTCCTGAGTTAGAGCTCACACTGGTGATTGGGGGCCCCGAGGCCTGGCTTGGCTCCAGCTGTGTGATCCGGGGCAGATCCAGACCTTCTTGTTTCCTGTAAGTGGGGACAGCACTGCCCAGCCCAGCCACTCCCATGGGCCGATGTGAAGACGGCCTGATTGTGAAATGACTGAGGTGTAACTTGATGATGGAGGCAGTGGTTTTGAGGTGAGGTATCGGTCTCTCAGTCCCAGCAAGGGCTGTTCTTGGCCCCAGTGTTCAGTGGTTGTATATTCCAGGGTGGTCATCAGCTGGAGGAGACCTGAGCCCCTCCTCGCCCACCAGCGCACCCATCCCAAGGTGGCTTCCGGAGAACCTGGGCATCGCCCAGGACCAGCCCTCAGGAGAGCAGACCCAGGTGCTGGCTTCTCAGGCCAGCCGGTTCCTGGCCAAGGTGAGTGGAACCCCAGTTTTGCCAGGCGAGACCTAAGTCACCTGGAGAAGTCAGAGCCTCTGCCTGCTTAGATGAGAGGCTCTCTGTGAGGCTCGCTTGTGATTGCCCTGCCAGGGTTAACTTGATCATCTCAAAAACACGAGACTACTCTCCCCTGGTTTTAGAGGCCACAAGGGAAGCTAAGCAGAGTCTAAGAAAAGAGCTTCCTCTCTGTCACCAAGTGCTAGGTTTTATTCCCTTTTTGGCATTGCGTCTCATCAAACTCCCACCAGTTGTGCTTGCAAGTGTCTCCTGGTTCACTGGCCCCCAGGGGACCATCAGCTCTCTCAGGATCCTGGAAAGGTAGTAGAACCTCCCCTCTATCTTTCCTCTTGGGGATAAATCACCCCACTTTCTTAGTTCATTTCATTACAGAAACGAATTCTCAGTCATCTCTCAAAGGGCCTTTATATTTTCATCAAACAGTCCAAATAACTGTGAATTGTTTGCAGGTCTGTTTATAGCTACACTCTTGGCCTTATTCCAAAAATGCTTTAAAGCATCTTTGAAAATACATGCCTTATAACCACATTCTGCAAACGGAAGTGAGGAAACTGGGGCAAAGGGGAAGTAAGAGTAGAAAAAATAAAATAAAATGAACTTAGGGTGAAGTGAGTAAACTAAGTGTTCTGTTGGACCCTGAACACCACCAGATTCATATTTGGCTTTGAGTTTCCTAGTTGTCAATGCAAAAAGGAAGAAGAAGTAGTTACATACCTCACCATCTTCAGAAAACAAATTTCCTTCAGAGAAACACCAGCATTCTTTTCCTTTTTCTCTTNCTCCTTTCTTTCCTTCCTTCTTTACTCATTTAAGGGAATGGATCAGTATATGGGAAGCACTGACCTGGCACCTGGCAAGTTCTTCCTTAGAGACAGGGAATATTAGTAGTAGTAGCAGTATTAATATAAAGGTGTTTATTGGATGCCCATGTGCCGGGCATAGTGCAGGCATGGGCAGCGGTAGACGGAGCAGAGTGGTGGTGCCTCCTCTCATGGGCGGTTCCCCAACCCAGTGGCGACTCGGGTCTCCCTATATGTGGTTACCAGCCAGGTCCTGGCTCAGACCCCTGTCTCCTGGGTGAGAGGAGTGCAGCAGGGAATGTGGGAGAGCCTGGAGTGGTTCAGTGCCAGCTCACCCACTCCCAATTTCTGGAAAAATGATTCCTTGGCCGTGGCTTCTCCTCAAGAGAAGGGTAAGCACAGGTCCTCTGGACTCTTCCAGAGGCAGGACAATATGCTCCTGGAACCCCAGTCTCACAGCCACGCTGGGGAGCAGTAAGGGCAGAGCGCACCCCCCCAGCATGCTAAGGAGGACATGAAGCCCAGGTGTGGAGGGGACTAACCCCATCCCACGGGGCCTAGGGTTTCCAGCCAGGCTTCTGTCTGTCCAGGGCTCTGCAGACTGGGAGACCCTGGAGAAGCTTCCTGCTCAAAGCCCTTGTGAGGGAGCTGGTGGGAGTGATCTCCCTGGATCTGCTGAGCCCCTCACTCTGCCCAGAGCCCCCCGGGGAGGACTGGGCCCACATGGGAGAGGGCCAGGCTAGGGATGTTGCCCTGGGCACCCAGGCCAGGCCTGGCGGTGAGTAGCCAGCAACAGTGTGGGCCCAGGGGAGAGAGACTGGCCTTTGCTGGGCGGTGAAACAGCGCCAGGCCCAGGCGAAGTACACTGCCGTTGTCACCTCATTTGATCCTCTTCACAAGAGGAAACTGAGGCTCAGCCAGGTGGAGGGGTTTTCTCACTATCCCGCAGCTGGTAAGGGATTAAAAATTGAGGATTATACCCAGGTCTGCTGGATTCTAAAGTGGGTGCTTTTTTCCCCATGTCTGGGTGTGCCTGGCAGGCCCTGGCACGGGGGTCTGTGGCAGGCACATAGGGATGAGGCAGAGTAGTGATGTTGTAGTGATAATAACAATAGTAATGAGTGATGTTTACTGACCAGCCCTAAGGAATTTAATGTTGGGGAAACTGAGGCCCAGAGAGGTTAAGGCATTTGCCCAAGATCACTCAATAAGTAGGCACCAGAGCTGGGGTTGAGCCCAGCAGTCTGGCTCCAAAGCCCACTGTTTAAATGAGTCTCTAGCACAACCAGACTCGGAAGGGTCTACAGCAGGGGAGGCTGACCGCGGAGTCCCACTGCCTGGCCTGGAAGCATCACTGGACTCGGACTGGGTGGGGGCCAGGACTGGGCAGGAGTTACTTCTGGACCCTATTCTCTAGCCAGCTTAGGGCCAGAGTTTTGGGTCATCTCACACATTCTCTGTGCTTGTCACCTCCCCCCAGCCTCAGTCCCCAACCTCAGCTGCCTCTCAGCTGCTGGGGGATCTGTGAGGCTGAGACCAGAAATTACCCCCAGAAAGAACAGGGAGATGACATAAAACTGCCTTTCCTAGAGTGTGTGTTCTGATGGCCCCTAGTTGGTCCAGAAACCCCTAGTGGAGGTGGGGTGGGGAGGGGGAAGGAAAAGGGGGGGGCAAGAGAGGTTTGTGTGGTCAGAGGAGTTGGGGAAACATTTCCTGTTCTTTCCACTCCCTCGCCCTCCTGCCCCATTCATAACGGCCATTAGCATTTAAAAGGCTGTGAGAAACCCATCTGTGCAGAGAAGAGTGAGTTATTTAACCCAAAGTTTCCCACACTCACTGATTAACCCCACTGAAGGAGCTAGTCCAGCCTCGGGGAGCATCGTGGATGACCCTGGCTTAAAAGGGACGCCCTGAAGCCCAGGGGTGGGTCCCAGGTATGTCAGCTGGGAGACAGCTCAGCAGCTGCCCACAGCTACCCTGAGCTCCCCTCTTCAGGGCATCTGCACAAGCCTTTGCCCGCCCCCTGCTTGAAGATCCTCTGATTCCTGAAACAATGGGGGGCCCTCTAGTGCTGGAAGTTGCTAGTTCCTGTTGCTCCCTAGGTTGGGCCTTGGTGGGCCTGGCCTGAGGCTGGGGGGAGGGACAGGCGAGGACTCGAGGACACACGGAGGACTGGGCTTTCCCCAGATTTGGGTCACGTTGGGAGGAGAGGGGTGCTGGTGGGCAAGCCCCCACAGGCGGGCCTGAGCAGATGGCTGAGGGGATTATTAAAATCCAGCTTTGTTCTCATCAGAGGCTGGGCCTGAAAGAGGAGGCGGCAGCTGGAGGCAGAGTGGGGGAGTGTGCTTGGGAGGGCGGGGTGCCCAAGCAGTGCGGGGTCACTGTCCTTCACTTTGGAGTCGATTTTTCTGCCACAGCCAGGATGCGAAGAGCAGCAGAAGCAGGGAGAGGCTGCCTGTCTGGGGGCTAGGGAGCTCCTCACACCAGGCCCACCCTGAACTGCCCACTCCTGACCTGGCGTCATGAGGAGCAGGGGGCACTGAGGCACCACCTACAGAAGAGTAGCTTTTTCAGAGGCCTGCCTCTAGGGGTGATGGTGGTGATGAATGTGATAACGGTGGCGATGGGGATAAGGGTGATGATGATGGTAATGGTGGCTGTGGTAATGGGGGCGATAGTGATGACAATGGTGATGATGGATGTGAGGGTGGTGGCTGCTGTTTACTGAGCACTCACTTTGTACACAGAGTGGTTAGTTAAGTCAACAGCTCTAGGACTCCAAAGTGGACGTTAATCCAGGCTCTCCAGAGCTCCCAC